CACTTCTTTAGTTCATCGTCTCTGACAATAACGAGACAAATAGCACAGAGTATTCTTCTGTTGACAGACAGACGGGACAGTCGGACACTGAGCTGTCTACCTTTAAATTTAAAATGGACTTCATGCATTCAGGGTGTCTGTTGTCGTCATCCTCGTCCTCCTCCTCCTGACACCTGTCTGAGTGTTGTTGTCTCTGTATGAACCGTTTGTCTGACGGCACATGAACGCAACCTGAGTCCTCTGCAGTCTATGTGAGGGAGCTCAGTCAGGACAGAAGAATCTCACACTCTGTCCGTCCTCCGACCTCTCAGCTGCTGCAGTGAAACTGTGACCGGCTGGCGGCCATCTTGGGTCAGAGTTGGATGTTGGGGAGTGTGAGTCAGTCTCCTCTCTGAGAGGAAACACTCAATGTGTCTCCAGTCACAGTGAAGTGGAGCTCCAGTCCCAGCTGGACGAGGTCATCTAACTGGCCTACTGTCCTTGTCCCAGTATACAAGCACGGGAGGGGAATCCATTTATTGAGCCAAGTATGTGCGACTCCTCTACGATAGGTGGAGATATGCCCCCTTTCAGCTTGTTAGTATTGGACCTTTTTCCTGTTGACCTATTACGTCACAGACCAAACAATGGACAAACAAGTTAGCTACGGTTAGCTAGCTGCTAACTGCTACCATGGTGGACAACTTTACAGCTCTGTACATTTGGTCCGTCCAAAAAGTCACGGCTCTGGATGTAGATTTCTCCATGTTGTTACCGGCTTCTTCTTCTCTTACACATTTAATGCTATTGGACTTCCGGGTCAAAGCCTGTTTCCTGGACCTGACCTCAGTAACTTTATGTTAAAGACATAACGTCATTCGTCCGTAGGATATCACGCTAACTGTTCTATGGTAATTGGTTGCCTGTGAAGGTCAAACTGAAACAGTGAACACAGTCCATTTATTGTTAAAGTTGATGTTATATCCAGATTGTCTCAGATGAAGACATTATAATGATATAACCTAATTCTGAGGACCAGGTCTGACTCTTCTGACGCTCTGAAGCACTTGGTTGTGAACTTTATCAATAATTAGGAGAGAACATGGCTGCTCCCTGCACGACGCCTCATGTTTCTGAATTAAGTCCAACATTTCTTTGGCATTTGTTCTTTAAGTTCTTCTCAGTCGTCAGCTGCTGGTTCATCATGTCTGTGATGACATCAGAATATCTCCAGCTGGACCAAAGACACAGATATCTGTGTTTTATGATCAAATGTAAAACTTAATCTGAGCTCTGAGTCTTTGTCTCTCTGAGACTCTGAGTTCAGCTCTGTGGTGAAACTCTGACGTCATCTCTTTATTTTTAGTTTATGAATCAGTGTTTCAGATCCTGTGGTGAAACAGTTGGACAGGGCTGAAGTATTTTGGGATGGAAGGACACAGACAGACAGACAGACAGACAGACAGACAGACAGGTATGTGGTGTGTATCTGCAGACAGCAGCTCTCTGTAATCTCTGGGACAAACTCTCCATCTGTCGTCTGTTTGCTTGTAATTTAGTCTGAAATGAGAAGTTGCTTCTGCTCTGTTTGTCCCTCTGAGACCTGCCAGTGTTTAAAGTAGTGATCACACACACACATGTTCAAACTGTTTAGACTAGGGATGGGCAGCACAAGCAAAAACACTATTCGAAAATCATGGCAACTATTCGACAATTTTTCGAATAATCCCCCCCCCCTCACTGCAGGGCGCGAGCCAGCCATGGAGCTGTGCGGCGCAGTGCCACCGGTGTGGATGACACAATCGGTTAACATGGGCACCGAAAGGAAACAAGAGCTGAATTGCATGTCACATAAAGGGGGGGAATAAGACGGCGAATAGTAATAGTCGCATTAAAAAATCGATTTTTCAAAAATAAAACGACTATTTGAAATTCGAAAATCATGACCCATCCCTAGTTTAGACGCTCAGATGTTTAGTTTAAATCCAGTGGAGATCGTGTCAACGTGTTCTTAGATCTGTCTGACGTGTCCTGAACGTGTCCTGAACGTGTCCTGAACGTGTCCTGAACACTCGGAGGTGTAGAATCATGTCCATGTTCTCTCTGGTTGATCTCACCTGTTTGTGCTGCTGTGCACTTTCTTTCTGCGTCCTGCTGCAGATTTCTGGATCCTGTCGGTGTAGAAATGCCTCGTCCTCGTGTTACATGTTTGTTCAGTCAGTCGACACTCGACTGTGAAACTGTTCATCAGAGCTTCATAATAAGCAGCTGCTGTTTCTGGAACATGACGGCTGCTCCGACCTGCTGCTGCTGGACGTTTAGATTCTGCTGTCCAGCACACGGAGGAACTCCTGAACCTGATGACTCGTCCTCACCCACGTGTCACCTACAACACACCCACCATATCTCACCCACACCTCACCCACACCTCACCCATATCTCACCCATAACTCACCCTATATCATATCTAATCTACATTCCACCTATATCTTACTCTTATCTCACCTACAACACACCCGAATCTCGTCCAAGTATCTCTGAGGGAATTTAAAGCTCCTCAGCAGAGAGGCGTCAGGTGAAGATGAGATTCGCGCTGAGCTGCTGAAGGCTCTGGACTCTGCTGGACTCTGCTGGACTCTGCTGGACTGACGTGTCTCTCCCATGTCTCTAACAGAGTTGTAGTGTGTAACACCGTATCACGAGCAGTGTGTCTCTCTGTTGGTGGAGTGATGAGTCTCATCTTGAGACTCAGCGTCCTCAGTAACATGGAAATGAGTTTGGTCTGTAAATATTTGAGTGGGAGCACAGAACATGTTTTCTGATGTCAAACAGACATCCTGGGTCAGACACACTCAGCTGTTACCTCACTTACAGAACTAATAGTGGGTGCTCAGTAGCTCAGCGGCTGTGGGTTTGATCCCAGTCTGTAGATGGCACTAGAGGGCGTAGCCAAACGTTTCTTACAGCAACAAACAAGGTGACGGTGAAGGAGTATTTAATGTTGTACCTTTAAACGGAGGCAGTGCTGTAGACGTCTGTTAAATACATCCTGACCTGCAGACGGAGAACTCTTCCCTCTAACTTTACTGTTTATTACATGTTGTATCTCACTTGAACAACGTTACTCTGCCTCTGTGCTCTCAGGTGGTTCTGCTCTGTCTCATCTGTGTCCGTAAGGTTTCAGATAACGTGCACAAACATGTAATGTAATGAACACAGAGTCTGGACAGAAGCTCCGTCTGTCTCTGTACACAACAGTGAGCATAAATGAGCCCTTTGACCTGATGATGGAGATGAGAGGTCAGAGGTCACCTGAGGTCACAGAGGTGGAAGAAGTACTCTGATCTTTTACTGCAGTGAAAGCAGTAACACCACAGAGTAGAAATACTCTGTTACAAGTTAAAGTACTTGAGTAACTGTACAGCTGGATGCCATAATTCCAGAGGGCAGCGTGGTGCAGCTGTTGGTGACCAAACAGAAGAGATGAATCCATTCACTCTGAGCAGGGTGAGATTTATGGTTCATGTTTCCACGACGGCCGACTCCCATGACTTCCTGTTGCTATGACGGGCCGTGGTCACTGACTCTGTGTGTGTGTGTGTGTGTGTGTGTGTTTCAGATCCTCTTTGTGCTTTGATTTATATCACAGTCATTTTCTCATGAACTGTTTAAATGTTCTCGGCTCCTTCACTTTATTCATGTTCAGTGTCTGACAGGACGTCACATCAGCAACACTTCCTGCCTCAGGACCAGCTCTCTGAAACCAGCTCTCTGAAACGAAGTCTCTGTAACAAGCTCCCTACAACAATCTCTCTGAAACAAGTCCTGACTCCCCACTGAATCGGCAAACTGTCTGTAGCTGCTGTCAACAGAGCTGCTCTCCTCCCTGAGAGTCCGGTTAGCACAAGCTAACACAGCAGCAGCACTCACATCCAACACTGAGCCTGAAATGACTTGACTCTGTTGTTTAACCTGTGATGTTTCAGGTCATCAGTACGTCCCATTCATGTGGACACGATATCTCAAGAATGCCTCGAGGCAATTTCTTCAAATTTTGCACAAACAGCCACGTTGACTCAACAACGACCTTCACACAAATGATGAAATAATATATACAACCACGGGGCAGGCTGGTGGGCGGAGTCATACAACCATGGGGTGGACAGGTGGGCGGAGTCATACAACCACAGGGTGGTGATTGTAGTTTCCTCCTGTAGCAGGATGGTAATCAGTGATTCCAGACTTTATGCAGCGCTGACTCAGAGCTGTAGAGAAAGTTCTGACTACGTGAGACCAACAGATATTTGATGGTGGTTGTTGGAGGAGCCTGAGGTCTAACTGTCGGTTGTTATGCAGATGAAAAATAAAAAAAAATTGAAACTTAAATTTCTTCCTCAGCTCTTCCTCGTCAGCCTCTCTCTGCTGCTGGATGAACTTACTGTGTTTAAACTGCAGAATTTAAAATCTCTCGTGGTTTCCTCTGAAACACAGAGTGAGTCAGGGGTCGTGACCTCTGATAGAAACAAACAGGAAGCTGTTTCATTCCTTTCTGGTGACCCCCCCCCCCCCCCCCCCCCCCCCCCCCCCCCCCCCCCCCCCCCTTTAAGGGCCCCCTCCGTACCTCCCAGCTCCGAGCTCTGCAGCTTCTGAGCGGCTCTGTAAGGCTGGAAATCTGACATCAGATTCAAAGCTCTGATTATTTTCATGATATTACTGAAAGTTTAACCTGATGTGACGGATCGTCTCTGTTGCTCCTGCTGAACTGTGAAAACGCTTAGACTGATGTTTCCTCCTCTAACAAACAATCTTTGCAGAGACAGAACAGAGCGCGGCTGACTACAGACAATAATCAGGTCTCATTTTGGCCTCTGAGGAACTTCCGTATGCTGATTAGCTCCAGCTGATATGATAACAATGATAATAATCAACCATCAGTGCTTTAACCAGCTGAAAACAATGTTTGACATGTATTTACTGTGTGACGTAATGTTTCCTGTGTTTCTTCTTCCTGTGTGTTTCAGAGAAGCTGTATAACTCTCAGGGTCCAGAGCTGCGACGCTCCCTGTTCTCCCTCAAACAGCTCTTCCAGGTAACAAACACACACTCCTCTCATTAACAGCTTTATTTAATCTCTGATGTAAAGACAGCAGAGCCGCAGATATCAGCCTGAGCTCAGGGCTCAAACATCAAACCACATCACACACTGCCGCTGCACCACATGTTGGTGTGAGTCAGTCTCCACATCGTCTTCGTGTCAAATTAAAGTCACGATACAACACCAAACTTTCATCCAGGTGATTCTGTGACATGTAATGAGTAATAAAACAGTCAGGTGTAAAACATCACAGTGACTTTTGTTTCCTTACATTGACAAACAGAGGAGATAAATTATTATCAGCTGTTTGACTAAAATGATGTTTCCTTGGTTTTGGGTGGAGAAGCTTGATCGGCTGAAATGTTGACGACTAAAACATCTTCAGTTTTCATCGACTCAGCGACACTCAAACAGTTTTCTTTGACAGATAAAATGCCCAGACTTTTCCTCTGAGCTAAAACTGGACTGAAAAAATAAAATGAATATGATAAATACGAACACGACACTTGACTCAGGACTAAAACTAAGTCTAAAAAATAGCTGACAAAATCAACACTATCATGAAAGTCCTACCCGTGTGGTGATGTGACGTGTTCTCTGTCTGCAGGATGATAAAGACCTGGTTCCAGAGTTCGTGGCCTCTGAAGGTTTGACGTGTTTCATTAAAGTTGGAGCGGAGGCCGACCACAACTACCAGAACTACATCCTGAGAGGTGAGACTCCGCCCTCACAGGGTCAGCGAGGAGTAAAATGAGCCTGACCTCCAGTCACTGTGAGGTGTTTGTTGTTCAGCTTCCAGTAATCACCAAAGACACCTGAATAATCCTCCTCTGTCCGTCTGTGTGTGAAGATATAACGTGAACATGGGAACGCTGGACAGACCGTGGAAGCTGTCCACACTTTTGTGTTCAGAAGGAAAATAAAGACACAGGTGTGATTAAAGCTGAAGGCAGCAATGAGTGAACCCTTGCACCTTTGTGCGTGTTGCGGGCACCGGCAGGACGCAGACTGACTTTTCATTTCTGTGAAAGTCAGACGCTGCATGCAGGAGTGAGGTGGTTTATCTGTCATAGAGTGTGGGTGCTGGAATTACATATTACACATATTATACCACTTCCTGTGTCCATTATGTGGCGCAGATCTGAGGGGGATGTGGTCAACCTGTAAGGAGAAATAAAGCAAAGTATAAAACATGACATTTCCTGTTGCC